TATGAATCATCAAAATGTTGTCTTTTTATGACATGACATTTGTCACATATTATGATTCAGATATGAAACGTACAATGTTACCTTTTTAGCCCCCCTGATCATAATTTGAGAGGCGATTTCGAAAAAGGAACGTTTCTTTTAAAAAGTGTGGCTGTTTTTGATGTTATTGAAGTTTGAAATTCGAATTATAGATTTGTTTATTTTGAATAACGAAGAAAATTGGCATGGAATAATCGAAATAGATTGTACCTATGCCTTTCTGTATATATATAATTATCAATATGTTGCATTTAGCATTATATATTATTCAGAATTGCTTATGTTAATGAGCAATAAACTCGTTACTGAAACGACTCAATTTGTATGTATAAGCAATACTAAGTGCGTATTAGTTAAAGCGATATTAATCGCAATAAATAATGTAATGCGTAGATCATAAATAAGTTGGTAAGACTGGAACAAGATGGCGTCTAGACATTGAAGGTCGCCATTTTTTGGGTATTGCTAGCTCTAATAATATTTCCAGTGTCATTTAAACTTTGGCAAGAAGTTTCTTGTCGTACTATTGCTGTTGATATTTTGTTAATAAACTTGTTATTAAATCGCATATTGATCTATATTTTTTTATTCATGACATTGCTTAATCTTGTTAAATGTAACCGTATATCTATTTCTGGCACGAATTCCATTATAAAAATCAGGTACACCTACGAATCAAAGTCACACCTCATTTGTCATAACGCTTCGCTAAGCTTCAAATATTTCTTGTTTCCTATAAAAAATAATATTCAGAAAATATCGAATTGTGAATGTTCCTATTTCAAATATAAAATTTTGATTCCGAATTTAGTACATTCTGAAAATATACGTAGACATGATATTTCCCAGAACAGAATTATAGCAGAAATACTTTTATAATCGTGGTCTCATTCAAAATAATTTGTAACATATTTTAAGAAGCAAGTACGAAATCGCTACCAGGACTTTATGAAATGAAGCAATTCTTTTCCAGCTAACCGCACCGCGTTCGTATTTTAGAAATGTTGTAAAGACTTGAGGAGCGAGGGGTCAAAGGTTACGGTCTACGGTTTTGGCGCGCTCTCCGCGAGGTACCAGGCGCTTAGAAGGACCGAGGAGTTGTATTAAACTCGCCGTTTGAAGGGGAGGCTCTGACAGATGTGCGATCCCCTCCTGTCTACCGCGTCTTAGCTCCCGGCTCTCATTTGAAAGCCATTCGTTCGTTAGTTACGACCTCTAAGGGGACAACATGGGGGTGACTCGATATCGCTTTTATGGACAATTTGAGACGAATCGGTTCCTCACTTACATTTTCGAAGATTTTTGCAGTTTCGCCGAAGTTTGGGGCTTTGAGTGTTATGGCAGATTTATTTATTTTTTGTTTACATGTTTTTTTAGTGGTAACGATTGTTCATAATTCAGTCAATTTTATTCAAAAAGCAATTTAAATAAAAAGAAGATCAACATTTTGGATTACAAAGTTTTTAGTTTTAATGTTCGGCTGATTTAGTTCACAGTTCACAAAAGAAATGAAGTTACCAAGATAAAACTCAAGTCACCGAAAAGTAGACATATCTCTGACCTTAGGTGATCAATACCTGTTTGTAAAGTCTCCGTGACTTTTAGAATTAGGGGGTTGCCTATCTCTCGACTTAATTTCGGCCGGGGTGATAAACGTAATGAATGACTAACGATTTTTCAAAGTTATGTGACTCCGGGCTTAAAGTCAAGCTTGGGTTCGGTTTCACATTTTAGGGTTCTTTGTTATTTTGAAAATGAATATTTTGGTATTTTTTTATTTAATAAATTACAATTTTTATTGGTTGTATTATGACACTATTGAAATGAATTAAGATTTGTTTACGAAGCATAATTTAAATGGTGATCAAACATTGCGTTACTGAGATTGGTTCCCTTCATCTAGATCAAATTTACATACTTAGTTGATATTTATGTAACATCAAGTTACTGGTAACATGAATTAAATGTGTAAGTAGCACTTTCATACCAAACACACAATTTTAATTCAAAATAATCATGCAAAGATCAGAAGATACAATTGAAACAAAAAAAAAACAAACACGTCCTGTATAATTACCGTATTTACATCCCCCTGTCACAGCAAACTTACAACTACTTTATTCCGTTGCAAAAAGGTCGAAAATCGTTGAACCGAGTTTTCAATTTAAACCATACAGAACCTTTAACTGTAAGTTATCTACTTGATATATGAACAACTGTGACGGGGTTAACAAAAATTTTAAGATAACACGATGCTATCGTTCAGCAATTTGTTCAGTTAATTTATGAGCAGATTGTAATTAAAGTTATCTCTTGACGTGTACGTTGAATGAATACGAACATACCAGCATATGGAACTACACCAATATATAAAAATACGTTATTCGATTTCCAACTTTAACTTTAAAACGCAAGGTTGAAAATCTGTTATAGAAGTGATATAGGCTGGGATAGCATGACGTAATGCCGTATGCACATTTTTTGGTAAAATATGCATGGAATTACAGATATAAGTGATACTGTAAGTTATATGAGAGATTTTAATCTGAATAATAAAAGTAATTGTATTGTACTGTTTGTAGTTGGCTTTGGTTAAGTGGCCGCATATGCTACTGACAATTTTGAGACAGCGGGCATGATACGGGCAAAGCAATGATACCTGAGGGCGACAACGGCGTTTTCCAATTTTGAAATTTTGTTGTATCTATATTAGTCAATTATACATCAGTATAATGTATAGTCACGACCAATAAGACTTCATATAAGAACAATAGCATTATCAACTGATACTGACGCAATTTCAACTCAATACTTTGAGCAACACAACTCTAAACCACTTAAAGAGTACATAGAAAAGTTATCAACAATACAATAAACAACAATTAAACTACACAGAAGACACATCGATCACTTGATACTTCCATCGAACAAGAACAAGAAAAACTATTGCTTTTAAAAGCAGCTATTTATTTGCAAACAGCTTTTAGCCGAGTTGTGAACGTACTCGTGTCCCACGTATTGTATGCTCACATCTCTCGGATTACCCGACTGAGTCAAGTCTATAAGGGTGGTACATGTTTGTTCTCAATGCTTTTGTATCTCCACCGCTCTCGCTACACTTTCCAACATGTTTATTGCAACAGAACATACTCTATGGTTAGTTTCAAACGTATTTATTTACCGCTAAGTGCCTGCCACTTCGTTGACTGATGGCCCGACCCAATTTTAGATGAAGTACCTACGCTACGCTACGTGTTACGAAATGCGTCCCGTCTTTCTTTATTAGCACTTTGAAACCCTCGTCTTATAATGTTATTCATTCATTTATTATTCACAAAACTTCGCAAACACTGTCCCAAAGCAAAGTCCGTGCACTTAATTTTGCCACTTTTCATTTTAACAAACTCAAGTAAATTAAAAATTAAAGCCAACGTAACATTCAGTTGCATCCGTGAATGTTTCTAACTGAATTATGGATGAAACGCTAAGCTCATATTTATTATCACGCCAACATATATAGGAGGGGGGTCTCATGAATTTGTCGTTAAAAGCGTATTCCAGATGCGCCCTCTAAAAGCGGAAGAGGTAACATGCACCGAGGGTGGCGGGGGGAGGGACGCAGAGTGCCGAAACAAACATGCCACAGTGCCGAAGGCTTTCTCTGCTTGTTTGTTTGTTTTGCCTATTGTTGGCTGCCGATACAATGAATTATTCAATAGCACTAAGTGGGTATTGTACAACGAAGGTGGGGTAACATTAGTAATAGCACGAATTCAGTCCACTGGCTGAGTTCTCCAAAGAATTCCCCGAGCGAATTGAAACGAAATGGTAACGATATTTTTTAATTCCGACGAGTTTGATCGTTTCGCCAAATGGAAATGCGCGAACTCGGGATGGCCATTACCGAAATAACAACAAAAGAGAATGTTTCCAAATCAGTTTACCTTGTTCATAATATCCTACCGGGGTTATTATAATACATAAATTCAAACAAAAGACAAGAGGAAACCGCGGCGCGAACTTAAAATCGTCGTCCGAAACTCGCGTTACAAAGTCAGGAAGGAAAAGTCCCCAAAAGTTTGTCCGAAAAACCGGGAAAAACCCCGAAAATTTAAGTCCAACATTCTGTTTCCGTCGGACCGGGGCACCCGCGTAAATATTATTCGGGACTTTCTTTTATTCTCTTTGTTTTAGACGCTTTATTATTTGCGGTCCGAGGTGAGGCCGCCGAGGTGAATCAGCGCATGCTCCACGTGCCAGAGGAGGGGGATTAAAAAATAAACCCCTACGATCTACAACACAAAAAAGCCAAATAGCAATTTTAGCGTAACCGAAAGAAGAAAACCTCATATAAAAATGATTCTAAACAAGATTTTAAAACTTTTGTCCTTTTGATATAAAGAAACAAAAGGGAACTCTTCTAATTTATGTATTTCTCTTTAGTCTTCAAAGCGGAACAGACCCTCTTCAAAAGTAATTGACAAATTTGTTCAAATACAAAAATAAAAGGCTGAATGTTTTTCGCGTCCCGTTCGAGGCGAAATCGTCTCGCGTAATTAGTTCGCTAGGATTCGAGGTGGAGAGCACGGGGTAGGAGGGGGGTCCCGATACATTCCGCATCTGTCGTAAAGTCGGAATTTTATTCTTACGCATTCCGCATTGGCGGGACCTTTATGAAAACTGTCCCCTTCACACTTGATGCGAATAAAGCAAAGTAGAGCCCGTAATTCTTTGAGTGATATTTTGGGGATCATCGGACGGCAGATGGCGCGATATTGGACATCCTAGTTTTATGCGAAGGTTCTTGTAGAAAATGTGAACGTTTCTCGAAGGTCGTAAAACAAAAAGCCATCTGTCATGAACTATGCGCTCTTAGACGAGCTGCGCTAAAGAGATTATGAAGGTAGTCCAATTTGGAAGACGGTATTTTCTTTATGACTTTTCAAAATAAAATGACTTACCGTTGACATATGATTACATGTGTCGTTGCAGTTGTGTGGACTGGAGTTTGTACTCTGTAACAATGAAATAAATATTGTAAGTATAATCAGAAATATATATCTAGTAAATCTGTTTCAAATAAGATTTTTGTGGAAGCCTGGCTATGAAACTCGATTTAGAGACTTTTTGTATCCTTGAATAAAGGAAGATATTAATCTAAAATCCATTCGTCCAAATAATTCGTGTAAAAGTCTGATATATTATATGAAATTAAATGATTAAGTAAATTTTGTGTTAAAATGAATATTAGTTTATATTTATTAACTTAAATAGGAATTCTTCGCGAATACACGTGTTAACACGTTCTTTTACTTTTCCACATTCTAAACTTGGGAATGACTAGCTAAATAGTGACTATAAATAGTACAAACATTTCTGTAGCTTCACTAGTTGTATAATGTAACTGTGCCTTAAAACAATAAATGGACATTACGTATGAATATTGTCTAAATAACTCGTTAGTTTTATTACCATGGGTCAACCTCGTCAAAACACGAAAAAAACCTTTTAAACCCCCGAAACAGAAGAAAAACAAAACGCAATATTATGTAATTTGTACAATAAACAAATTACCGAAATAAACGATGCTAAATTTATAAATTCGGATCGCGAAGGTTCCTTCTAAAAAAAGTAATTGAACTAAAATCGTAACAGACGTCTACCATCAACCCTTTCTCAATCAGGGTGGAATTTGTCAATGGAGTAATAGTAGAGGAAAGAAAAGAAAAGGCTGCTTTGTCAGGCCAATGGCCTAAAACTGTAACACCTGGGCTTTGTTGAGACGTTGTAACATGTGAAAGTAATTTATTAACTAACGTTTCGAAGCGGGGAAAACGTACAATATAGAAAATTCGAGGAAAAAAAATAGAAAGGAGTATTCCTTTATTTGAAAGAGCAAATTTTTTTGTTCAACGAAAAATACACGGTGTATAAACAAAACGTGAGGCCTTTACCGTCGAAATAAGTGGGGTTGTGGAAGCAAAGGGATTTTTTGGGGAAAATTCCTATTCGTGATTATTTGTGTAATATTTTATGTGCGCGAACGTCAATAAAGTAAGAGCTAACGTAGGTTGGAGATTTAATTTAGACATTGATGTGGAGCAATGGGTTATTGAGAAACACGTTCATAGTTTACGAGAATCTAAGTTAAATGTAGAAAAGATGTTCCAAAGAAAAGAAGACAATAAAACGTAGACATTGATGTAGGCACAATATTGGTCAGAAAAGAAAATACCACAAAACCGAAACAAACAAAATATTTACCACGTGGTCATCTACCTTGAATCACCGTCACGCTCCCTTGTTCCACAAAACGTCACAATTAATCCTTTAAATGAAAATCTAATTTGTCTGAAAACCCATTCAAATAAAATTGTCCCTTTATTGTACATATAATCATGTCACCCTAACCCCGTATTAAAATCATTAAAAAATATATCCATTAACAGTACACAGGGTTATAAATAAATTACAGGGTATCCACGCATTCGGGAGTGTCCGAGGTGGCCATATTTCACGGGCGGGCCTGTCCCGCGAACGTGTCGACACCTTTTTGCACTTTTTTTCGTACTTTTTGGGCAACGTGTGGACACATGAGCGCGGGAACGTGTCTGTGGCTTTTATACTGTTTTTAATAGATAAATAGCGTTGTAGTTTGACGGACACAGGAATTTTAATAATAGCGCCATAGATACCGGTTTGCTTTGTCAGCCTGTATGGCTGACGGACATTTTTCTTTGTATTATTTTTAACAATTATTCTGTGCGGGTTTTGCGGACGATGAAACTGCTGTGATTTTTTTTTCCGCTGACGGGGAAAAGTCAATTGTCGGGCAAATTGAATTTAATTTTTTTTTTCATTTTTCGACATCAAGTAAAAAATAGTTAACAAAAATACTTACAATCTAAAATACAAATGGCAACCAAATACAGCCCTAATTATGTAGGTGACACGAAAAAAAAACAATTACGCGAAGGTCCAAACAATAAAAAACCCGAGACACTTGTACAATAGGACACATTATCCTTTTGACACTGTCATTTAAAACCGACAACTTCTTTTTGTAAACCAAAATGCGACCAAAACAAAAACAGTTCATATTTCACGTTTATTTTCAAACAAGAACGAATGACATTGGCGTTCATTCAGAGCTAACTGTATTTGAACAAAGAGTTCTAAATAAACAGCTAAACATTCCGTTCATTCGTTCATTAAAGGGAAGGTCGAGAAAAATGTCTGCCGTGTAATTAGTGCACTCAGTACGGTACAATGTCTCTCGGAAGTGAGTTCTCTTGTTTGGTTCCGTTGATACAATCTTGGACAATCCAAAGACAGTATTTTAATCCTTGGTCATTACTTTATTCTAGAATAGCCTCAGTTTCTTTATTTTATTGTCTTTTGTGAAGTATTATTATTTGTTTCTTCAATATTAATTACTCATAACAATTTTTTGTTCACTTTGTTAATAAAAATTATACCAAAGTCCATGTTGTTTAACTATCACTGACCTACATTTGGTACAACGAGAGGTATCTGCCTGTATCTGTTGAAAAAAAAAAACTAAACGTGTAGACAGTGTAGACACGTCCCAACACATCGCAGGTTTTATTGTGGAATAGATCGCAAAAATCTGACGGTCCGAATTGCATATACGCAGTCAGAAATATCGCCGTGCAATACAATTTGTGTGATGACTACGAGATTGCAACGATACGAGCGCTGCAACTCTGCAACATATTGGAATGTGTAAAATGATCTTAAAAGCTACATTTGCTGGGACGGTAAAGATTGCATTCGGAAAGTCATTTCTGAGAATACAAAATAGAAGAGTTGAGATAAAAGGAAATGAAGAGTACTGGGACTGAGATGATATGCCATTTGCAGAAATGAAAGGTTATCAGGATTCTGTAGATGTTGAAGATAAAGTGTTAGAAATTTGCTCAATTTGGGGGAAAGTCATATATTTTGTAGTGTTCTTACTGATTAACTAGGAATTGGCATTGAAGGTGACTTCCACAATAGGGAAGAGTATAATTAGGCTTCTTTTAGATCTAATTTTAGTATGCTTGCCTAGTTATACTTAACTGGAGAGCCTCAATCGACTGGCTTTCCGTTTAAGTAACAAACTCACTTACGCAAAGACCGATCAAACTACGCAAGATAATTTTAACCTTCAAATCTCCAAATTGTTTACGAAACAAATATTTAAACAAACAAATATTCATGACACTAACGAATGACATTTTCCTCCCATGGAACCCGAAAAACCGGCAAGTGTGAACTCGAAAGCGCTTTGTACAGATACCATTATGTCTGATTTATATTTTGGAGCTGTCAGTCCACAAACACGTATTCCTTCCGACACGACGATGAAAAATGATCCCTGTTGCCATGTGCTATTGTGGGATTTTGATACATAACGCTTGTAGGCAGAGATTACATAATTTCTTTATTATTATTAGACTGCAATGTAGCTTGTTAGGAATAGTTAAAAGGCTAAAAATCTGCCATTTGGAGTAACTAAGAATGTAGTATCACCTTTATAGTTTGTGAAGGATCAGACAGCAAGCTGTGAGCTTGTTCGTAACCGGCTATTGTAAGGCAGATTTAAGAGCAAGATATTATTTATCCAAAGTAATATAATAATACTATAATTATAAGTTACACACAGGTCATTAGCAGCTTTTGATTGTCCACATTACTGTACAGAGACAGAGGTCTAACTCTTAAAGTTATGATATAAGTCAAATATTCTAGAGATTCTTTTATCTTGGGATAAGCCGGTAAACGAGCAGACGTTACACCTGATGGTAAGCAATCGGCACCGCCCATGGACACCTGAAACACCAGAGGCGTTCCCAATGCGTTCGGGAATTGGGGATACTGGGGAGGGGGGGAGGTAGTTAATTGGGCATCCTGTAACCTCACTCACACAACGAAACATAACGCAAACGTTGTTTCACGTCAGTTTTATGTGAAGCCGTGGTATCACACCGGTCGAGCATGGCTCTCATACTCTTATTCGGATCATATGAAAAATTCAACGAAATGATCCATTTTAAACGTAAGAATAGCAGTAGGTACTTAGTATAAATAATTTCACTTCCACAGCCAAGGTGACATTCAACTTAAAGTTTTAGGATACAAAGTTTCCCCTTAAAAGATCTAGTCCTGAACTAGTTTGAATAGAATTAGTGTGAAATCTGCAGTTGATCTTCAGTTAATTAAAACTTGATTTAAGTTAAACAAACTTGCGAGATCTTAGTATGGTAAATCAGTGGGCAGACTTATTAAACTTGTTACGTTTTAATATCAGTAAAGTTAGAATATCAAATACTTAAAATAGGCGAAGCTTTTTCTACAAATTAATGTTGCCTGCAGGAGAAAATTCAACCACATTTATAAATACATTTTAGCTTTACACACTTTTTTGAACTTTAATTAGGTACCTAATTTATTTATAATGTTGTAAATAAAGTATATATGTACAAGGTTGTTATATTATCATGTTCTTAAGAGAGTAGGTTGACTAATGCTGTTTCTCACTCATTCTGCAAACATTGTTTGTTGTTAGTAGTTATGTATTTTTTATGGAATAAGCCGGTAAGCGAGCAGACGGATCACCTGATGGTAAACAATCGGCGTCGCTCATGGACACCTCAGAACGTCAGATACGTTAGAAATTACTTAATATGTTGGGGATTAGGAATTAGGATTGTTGGGGATTCAGGGATTGAGGAAATTGAAGAATGAAGGAGAGAGGATCATTCAATTGGGCCTCTGGTAACCTCACGCACACGACAAAACACAACGCATGCGTTGTTTCATATCAAAAGTTATGTACTTAAAACATATTTAAATTCAAACTTTGACCAGTACGGAGCGGAGCTAATCGGAGCTAGGCTATATAATCTATCATGAGATAATAACTCTAGTCGAGAGCTGAAGGTGCGGTGTCGGGAACTCACGACTAATTGCCACTGAACAATGGAGGGACACAAAGCGTTCGTAATGA